TTATTGTAATATGGGGAAAATTTTATCTCCAGATTCTTTTTTAATCTTGTTAGGATATTCTCAATGTTAGTATAATAAAATGACATTTTAAAACCATAAAATGTTTAAACATTAACTGAAGAGAAATTTAACAAATAAAAATGATTGAACTGAATATATAAAATTAAAATTGAAAGAAATTTAACAAAAAAAAAAAAAAAAAAAATGATGCATTGAAATATATATAAAAACGATAATAAAATGAATTTCCTTTAAAAACAGAAAAACACGGGGCTTATTCTCTAACCAGCGTTTTTGAAAGCGATAAACAACTAACGAAAGTGAAAAGCACAAGCGTTTTGATATTCTCTACTTGCTGTGCTGTTCGTATTTTAAAAACCTAAAGCGCTTTTAAAAAAGTTATACATGAGTAGCGTTTTGACATTTTATACCAAGATTTGCAGACCTAGATAAGTCAAACATTAAAATTTGGACTAAATATTATGATTTGTATATTAAAATGTCAGCAATTTTATGCTGTTTATTATGTTTTCGATTCGTTATAATTTTGCAATTTGCCTTAATATATTCTAATAGAGTTTGCTTTTGGGCCCCATCAATGTTGCTTTTAAACTACAGTGTTCATGTTTATTGATTAATAAATTATAATAATGTCAAAATGACATTCAAATCAAACCCTTAGTTATCAGATCAATCAGAATTTACGATTTATAATTATGACAGCTTATGACAAAAATAAATCATCTGCCAATAGCAAAAGCGTCTAGCATGCTTGTCGTTTTGGTAATCGAACTTTTTTGAGAAATCCGCTTGGCGTTTTTCGTTACTATATGTTTTCGACTAAAAGTTAGAGCCCAGTATATATACCAATCAGTATTGGCACTCTGAGGCGACACGTTTGATCTTTATAAGTAGAAATTTTAGTTGACACTTGACGTTTTCGGGATATGAAAAGTTTTCTTTACACGGACTTGGTATACCTGGTTAGTTGAATTTTTGTTCTGCTGCTTTTCAAATTCGTGTGTATGAGGGAGATGTGAGATACCTTTATAGACAACGGTTGAACAACTTAATTACTTTGAAGAAGAAAATAGATTAGATATCAGGGCAGTCTTCGCAAATGTAAAAAGGACAGAACCGTTTTACATTTTTTTATATATGTGAAATATTTACTTTTTGGTGAAAGAACACACAAGGTTAGAGTAACAAAATAGAGGTATTGCTTTATTTCTTAAGAATTGCTCTAATCTAAAACTTTTCTAGTATATTGTAAAAATGTATTCTATACGTTATTTAGGCACTGCAAAATCTATTGGAAAGTATGTAGTTTTAAATTTAAAAATTTGTAACGGGGACATATTTAGTGTAGTTTTTTTACAAATATATACTCAGTGACTTGTTTTTGTGAATAAGTTCAAGTATGGCAGACTAAAATCGTTATTTTTTATTATGAATTAATTTGAATTTATTTTAAAATGGGAACTATATGTATATGGTTTTCGTAGTTTTTACACTTGTGATAAAAATATCAAAGTTATGTATATTGGCCATTTACTACTCACAGCAAATTCATAGACACAATACATATTACTATTTGGCATTCTTGTAAAACCACTAATTTAAAATTGACTTTAAACTAAGTGACTCACACGGAATTGTTTGAAAGCAGCCATAAGGTATAATTTATTTATTGGATACTATAATAAAATTAATAGTAGTTACATGTAGAGTTAAGTACCAAGAAATTTAAGACCAAAAACAAAACAAACCTTTATATCTAGTGAACTTAATTTAGTACAGTCCTCAACTTTCTTAGGCTAACATTAAAGATATCTATTTGGATCTCGCTAAGAAACTCATTGGTAACAGCCATCATCTTGTTAAAAGGAGATATACTCCTTGGATCTTAATCAAATAATTTTTTGTTACTTGGGTTTCTTAGATTAATCTTTGCCGCATTAACATTTATATAGTCAATCAATTCACAATCTTTGTACTTAAAATAGAGTACAAAATATATCACAGCCTGTTGCTTTCTTCTTTGTAAAAGAGATTTAATCTTAAAACTATTGAGCATAGTTTTATACGAGATCTTAGGTATAAGGGTACAAGTATTTTTTATGACATAAAGGTACCGTAAAAATATTTTTTGTACTTTTTCAATATGATCAATTTGTGTGGCTTCCAAGGGCATCCATATTTGTGAAACATACTCAAGATGGAGTCTTACGAAGGCATTGTATAATCTGATTTTGGTGGTAATCCTAAATTTTGTTGTATTTCTGATTTAAAAACCTAATGCTTTTATTGCTTTTTTAGTTATGTGTAAAAAATGGTTATTGAACTTCAAATTAGACTGAAAGACAACTCCCAAATCCTTTACCTCATATTCACGATTTAATGTGACATCACAGGTCTTATTTCTAATGTAAAACAATAAAAGGCTATGGATCCTTACAATTTAAAATATGCATACGTTTGTAAATGTTAAATAGACGGATAAAAAGTGTTGATTTTTATTTACAACTATAATAAGAACCCATTAAAAAGATTAAGTGCAATAGAACATTTCAACAAATGTCTATAGGTACACATATTTTTGATACCTGATAATCAATAAATAATATATTTTTTGGAGTAGCAACAGGTTTATTAATACACAACTATTATTTTGTTACAAATACTTATAATATTTATAATTAACATAATAGTTGATATAAGTCCTTTAAAAATAATATATTTTGATTTAATTGTTGAATTTATACAGGAGCAATTTTCCTTGTAGCGTTGTTTACATTTTGCAGAGAAATATTGTATTCTGCTTTTAGCTGATAAATCATGTACATGTAAATGGGTTGAATGTAGACAATGTTAATGTTTTTGCTACTACTGCTGGCTAGGAATGCTGGGCTGGGACATCAACAAGAAAAAAGGAAGCACAAAGCACCAGATGTTTTTATCACTTATACACGTACAATTTACAACCATTCAAGTAACTAGCATGTTGGAAATACTTCACGAAAACATATTAAACATAAATCAGTCGAAGGCAATGTATTTCCTTTTTATAACACACCTTTTTAGCTTGATTACTTTTAGTACTCTATTTATTCCAATGTCCTCAAATAAAACGAGCAATAATAAGGATAAAACACACACTGAAGTGTATTTGGGGTATTTTTGATCTAAATCCACTATAAAAATAAATAATTTTCCGTTTTTAAGCTGTGAATGTATTACAAAAACTACTTCGATAAAATGTAAACAAAAGTTTATATTTGTGTACGAAATATGGGTTGCCTGCGCATGGTAGCGAGTTTTTAACCAGATTTATGACAAGTGATAGGTTATATCCCGAAAACGTCAGCGCAGTAAAAGCTGCGCGTCTTTTTCCCGTCCAGGAAGTGTCATGGGCCTGGTTAGAGAATAACCCCCCTGGTCTCTACTAACTGGCTGACATAACATTTAATTAGAGATATAATTAACTATTTCGCTACAAATTAAACATTTTTTTTTGTATTTATTACTTCAGATCAATCAGACTATAATACACAGAATAAAAAAAAGAAAAAAAACGGTTATATGTTAAAAAAAAAATGACCAACCGTTTTAGATAGGATTGTCTTTTGACCTTCGACCACAACACATCGTTTTCGACACTCTCGCTGTTCAATTCTCGAATTATCGACCTGCTTCCCATAGCCAAATATCGTTTTCGTTAATCGCTACTGTACTTACCTCCGCCCAAGTCACATCTTTTAAAAATGTAGTAGTGGATCGTTCTCCTGTGGCACTCACCGAAATGCCGGGTGTAAGTAAATTCATATTGTCGGCGCCTCATCCTTTATAACAATATCATTCTAATAGCAAGTAAGTTGTGTATATATGTACATAAATGTGTAATCGTTCTCTACGGGTGAATTAAATCAATGTACCACCGTTCATCGGTGTTTGATTTTCTTGGACAAGAATTGCATCTCCATGCTACATAACTACAGTCTACACAGTACCGGCCTCAGCCGAGGAATAAACAGAGGGCCAAACCCCCAAAATTTTACATAATCCTAACAAACTTTTCAAACACAACATAAACATCAAGAGTTAAACTAATGACTAATAACTTTGATGACAAATGACTGACTGGTAGACATTGATAACAATCATATGTTACCTACCTGAAAGGTATATAAGTACAGTTACGTGTGGATATTACAACTAAAACGTTTTTATTTGTATATTTATTATTTGTGTGATAATGATAGTTCATTATACACATAACAAAGTTAATCCCGTCTCTATCAAGGATTTAACTTTGATTTTCTTTCTTTGGGGTTGCTCTCACTACCCATCTGTCTCCTGGATTTTCACCTCTCAATTGAAAATATTTTATTACGGGTGAGCCAACTGATAAGTCATAAAAATAACATCAATTTTCCGATCGAACTCTTTCGTTTAATTTTTTAACAAGGAAATGTTATTAGATTCATCTCCGTACATTACGATCCAAGTTGTCTGACTACCCCTATAGTGGTTGTTTTTGAACGATTGTTCTACACATTGTTCTGCGATAGGGAACAGACGTCAATGGATGCAAAATATCATTAAGATTTTATTTTAAATACCTCCACAAACAAAAATATCCTTAAAGATAAATCATTTAAAATCTAGCCACAAACTGGGTCTAAAACTGCCTCAATTCGAGTTATTTTCTGCAAAAACATCCAAATTTTTTACAAACTATGCAACAACTCGCTTTTATAATCATAATCGTTAATTTTAATAGCAAAATATCAAAGCTTTTAAATAAAATATAAAGACTTTATGTCAAAAACAAAATAATGATAATAGAAACTTACAAAATTTTAAGATGAAATTTCTCGAAACAATAGTATTTTAGTTGTGGCAGTATTTGATTGAGCCATCAATATAACTATTGGGCAACGTTTCCTAATGGTTAATAATAATGTTAATATCTAAAAAGAATATTTGTTTTGTTGTAGTATTCCGGCGGCTTCATGAATTCTCGACCGAAAGCGCCCAGAGACGGCTCGGCCCATCCGGTTCGCGACGGGTCCGATACGCAGTACTATCACACCGTGACGGCTGCTTCGTCGAGTCGCAGTCCCATGACTAAAGTAATGGACATATTCAGGAATAGATCGCACGTCAGCGTGCCGCCCGAAGATAGAAAGAAGGTAAGTATTGAAATATAGCTTGGGACACTGTCCTACTTTATCGATAGTTTTAGTTTCAGCTAAGATTAAGTCAAAAAATGTCGCAGATTTTTAAACTAACGTTAAGTAGTATAATCTTAGATTAACTTAGAGGGTCGTCAGTTTTCTGCATACAATTTTATAGCTTATCAATTAACCTTTTTATATTCTCTTAATTTGGGCGTTATAATCTTAATTCAAAATAAATCAACAGATGTGTTTGGGACAAAATGCTAATTTCAATGACTAACTTACAAACGCATTGTATGTGTAACAAAATTACAATATTTGTCAAATATTTACAATTTTAAATAAATAATAAAAAGAGCATGGGTGGTTTCTCCATTGGTTAATTTGTGCAATGAACGCCCAGTTAAATTTCATAAAAGCAAATTATTTTTAATTCACATAAAAAACATAAAAATATAAATTTTATTTTAATATTTATATTATTTTCGTACGTGTTAATTTCTATTTTATTTCACTCTGGCTGATCGTTACTGTCAGTGCACGAGAGGGTTTCACGAATGCCTATAGGTAAAAAGAGAGGTCAATAGATCCGTTAAACAAACAGTGTGTCAACCTGAAACCACACGCCAGTTTGTGCATCACACACTACAATTAAACTCACTTGTTCAAGTTACTCTGACTGGGGGCCTCTGATCCAAAGTTGCCACATTTAGTTGATTTCTCCTTTTTGGTAGATTTTTATAAATTAATAAAAAAATCCAATTACTCAAATAAAACTTTCTATTTAAGTAATATTATTGTTACTAAAAATGATTGCTAAGAACGTTGGTTATAACTAGGACTGGGCGATTATCAAAATAAATAATCGATCATCGATTATTTAAAATAAACCGTTATTTTCGATTAATCGATTACTTAAAAATAATCGATTATTTTCGATTAATCTATTCTTTTCGATTAATCGTTTCTTTTCGATTAATCTATTATTTTCAATTAATCGATTTTTTCGATTAGTCGATTATTTTCAATTAATCGACTTTTCGATCAGTTGATTCTTTTCGATCAGTTGATTCTTTTCGATCAGTTGATTCTTTTCGATCAATTGATTATTTTCGATTAGTCGCATATTTTCGATTGATATAGCCCGTGACTCGATGGTCATTGCTTAAGATCAGATTCCTTCGACAATTTTAAGTGCCCATATACACGTTTGCTCAAAAATCAACCACAACAGGCATGCAATATAAAAATGTATTAATTTATAAAATAATGGTTAGTACACAAAAGAGAATAATTAAAAAGTAATAATAATTATCAAACAATATTAATAAAATAAAGTAACAAAAAATAGTCCTCCTATTAAAACATTTCAATTATTAAATATCAAATATCATGCAATTTAAAAAATGATTTTCTGTTTAGGACTGGAAAAGATTATAAATTGGTTAAATTTGTATCAACTATCACTAAATATAAATAAAACTCGCTATATTGCTTTTAGTCTTACAGATGCAAATAGACCTTGCTTTACTAATATCTGAATTAAAGGTATGAATGAGGCAATCAAAGAAACAAATGAGATCAAGTACTTGGGAATAATCGTTGATTTGTTGTTAAATTTTTTTCCGCTAAAACAGCAGATTTCAATGAGAAATACAAAATGAAGTAGCAAGTTATTGCCAAGTATGAATCTGTTGAAAGTGATGTCCAAGTGTTATATGATACTGGTCAAGACTTGTTTGAGTTTGTTTGAATATTTATTATAAATATTATTCATCAAAGTTTCTTGATCAGTATATTTGCTTAGCATAACAGGGATCAAGAATTTGGACAGGTCTTCTAAATTCAGAATCGTTTACAATATTGAAGGGTTGGAAATCCATTGCAATCATCATGTTAAGAGCACGTTTTTCTTTGTGATGTACTGTCATATTCGATAGATCTCTTGAAAAAAGGACTTATTGATCTGTTACTAGACCTTGCTGAAGTTAAGGTACTACTACACGAACTGGAGGTAGTGGTAGAAGTAAGTTCTTCATCATGTCTTTTTGGTCTACTAATTATCAGCCAAGTAGCTGGTGTTCCCACTGGTTCTATATTATTTTCTATAGATGACTCATTTAGCAAACGCCTCGTCGATTAAAATATTTCCATACACTGGAAATTTTTCGCTTTTTATTTCTTACTCAAGGCTTGGAAAAAAATTGAATTTTCTGAGTCTGCTTCTGAATTGAAAAGTACATGTTCAACTTCTTCTTCAGGCCGATCGGAATCATTGTCCAGTACCATTGTCTCCTGAAACTACGAAATTAGAAATTAGAAAAAAAAAAAAAAAAACAGTATTGAACGCCAATTTCAATTTAACTTTTAGGGCAAAGGGAATATGAAGTAACAAAATTGAAATAATACTTGTACACTGTTTTTTTCTTTTTTGTATTCACATTCAAAAACTTTTCCATTAGGCATTCCAACGTCCTGTCAAAATTCTGTCGTTGAGTAATGACAGGTTATGATATGGCAACCCTGTGGGCCTGTTGTCTTTAACATAGATAGATTGTTCAAAGCGGGTCATTTTGTGAACCGCCATATTGCCTCGCAAGTTCTCATTAATCAGAATCGGTTTAACAAAAATGTGTTTTAAAACCAATTTTCAGCCTTTGAATATAGTACAAAAATATTTACCTACATTTTTACTTCAAGGCATAAGTAAAAACATGAATGAGCAATATCTATATCATTGATGTCAAATTCCCGGGCCCAAAGGGTTGCCATTTCTATGAAGACTAGAGATAAGGAGGCGAATCGGCATAATCGAAATACGGTCCCAAAAACCGAACGCTAATTGAGCTTTTTTAATTCACCGCAAGGGCGCTGGTGCTAGTAGTGCTCTTTAGAATACATGGCTTCTTATGAGAATTTTATATAATTTTGTCAAAATAATAAAAATAAATTTGTTTATTGCCAAATAAAGCACAGAATATACTGTTGTATTTATTTCTAAATAAGTCTCGCATGTTTTAATTGATAAATTATTTAATTTTATCTATATAAAATGCAAATTAGGTAGGTATGACCAAATACGAAAAGATTTGTTAAATGGTGAAGTACAATTTTGTGTCTAAATTTTTTTGAATTATACCTAAATATAGTTTTAAGAGCAAAATAAAACACAGTTAACATATTTTTTTTATTGTCATAATAATACAAGCATAAAGGGAGATTTGGGAATGTACATGATATTGCCTGATCCTTTAATTTCGGCTTTCCTCTTTTTATTTTGCTAACAGTACCATCAGTAAAAAGTGTCATAACATTTGGAAATATCTTCTAAAAAGTGTAGAACAGCATCATCTCTAGAAAGTGCTTTACCGGCCCTAGGAACGATATATATGCTGCCACTGTTCTAAGCGTTTGGGATCCTATAAAAAACATTTACAATGACAAAATTGGGTTCAACAAAAAAATAACATTAGCAACTCTTTATCTAACATTAAAACTATAAAAAAAACAAATGTTCTTTTCTAGTAAGTAAAATTTTATGTATAATTATTGTTTGTAAAATTTTATTTTATAGAAACTTGTAATAAAATCAACTACACTCCGTGATACGTGTTGTGACTAGTTTACAATAATATTATATTTAGACAAATACATTATTTTACTTACATTAGAAGCTTTAAAAAGACATTGAATTGATTTCTCCTTGTGTTTTCTTTAGTTTTACATCTGATTTGTATCCCGTTTTACAATCTGGAACGAAGTAAATCTTTGATGGTTTTTGTCACTTATGTTACTTGTACTCAGTTACTTTTTTCATATTATTTTGATTCTTTTCACCAATTAAAAAAACACTTCATTTTACATTGACTTACAATAGAAAATTGACAGCACTACTGTTCGACATGCCAACTACAGTCAATTTCGCGAACTTTATAAAAAGAAGGACGGAAATTTGAAATTTGACCATTGCCGATTCGCCTCCTCTCTAGTCTTCATAGCCATTTCATAACCTGTCATTAACCACGTGCAACTATTTTGTTTGGAATGTTTAATTCAAATTTAATTAATTTAATTTTTTTTTCATTCTTATGAGATTAGATAGAAAGTCAACTGTCACTGTCAGTTCATTGTCACAAAAGGGAACTTTTAAGGCAATTTCAATTCATTGACTTATTAGGACTGAAAATGTCAGCTGAACAAACAACTTTTCAAATGCGCTGCTTATAACCCTAATGTGACATTTTCAGACATGGTCAGGACCAAGACACTAATTTAAATTAGCCTTGTGTGGTGTATGTATCACTATCCTGGTTTGACATTGCATGCCCAACAAGGATCAAAACAGTAAAATCACTCAAAATTGGTGATGGGACTTTGCATGAAAATTTTTGGACTAGTCCGACGGACCAGTCCTGAAAAGTAGTAAAAAGTAGTCGACCTTGAGCGTGGAAGACACACAGTTAAATCTCCATCCTGGATATTTTTCAAAAACACATTGGGAACAATATTTGCATTTTTATTTTCGTTTTTTAAGCAAATAATTTGAAAAATACTTCCAACCTTTGGATTTTTTTTGTAATTTTTTAATAAGATATGAAAAGAAAATTCGAAAACATCGCTAAAACATATAAAAGTCAGTAATCATTTTTAGTTTCTTCATTTTTAAACTATATTTTGTTTTTATGAAATTCAGACAAATTAGTTAATTTAATTTCGCGCATGCGCAATACACTTTCCCACTTTTGAAAAGTGTTTGGACTAGTCAACTTTTCAGACCTCTCGCGAAAGCAAAAATGTTTTAAGGATTTTCTAATATGAAATTGTATTTTCATGCGCGCCACTGGGAATACTTCGTGATATTATGTGTCTTGAGAATATTGAGAGCTTTAAATTGGTGCAGCACTCTACAGAAACGATTAAGAAAAAAAAATGTGGGAAATCCTCCCATTTAAAAACTACTATTTATTAAAACAAAACGCAGCAAATTTTCAAAAATATAATACAGAATGGCG